TAGTTTTGGGGGCATGGTCTAAGTAAAATTGTCGGTGATCTGGGTGGGTTTACAGGACTGGCCTGTGTATTAGTTTCCTGGGGCCCTATAACAAATTATCAAAGACTGAATGGCTGAAAATAACAGGAATCTATTCCTTCACAGTTCTGGTGGCCGGAAGTCCAAACCCAGAAAAATGCTCCCTCTGAAGACTCTCAGGGAGAGTCTCTCCTTGCTTCTCCCCAGCTGCTGCTGTCTCTCGGCAATCGTTGGCTTCTCCAATCACCCCAATCTCTTGTCTTTTTCTCTGCAAGGCTCTTTTCCTGTATCTCCTCTTACAAAAATACCAATCATTCAATTTTAGGTCTCACTCTAAGCCTAGGATGACTTCATCTCGAGATCCTTAACTAAATACAACTGCAACGATCCAACTATCAAATGAGATCACCTCTCCAGATATTGGGGGTAAGGATTGCAACATATCTTTTTGGAGGGTACAACTCAAACCACTAAGGCCTACAACAAGGGAAGGACAGAGGAGAGGAGGGGGGAAATTATTAGTCTGTGAAACAATTACTGTATTTGCTATATAGTTTTTGATTGCTTAAGATGTTAACGTTTCCCACAGGAGAGCAGTTAAAGAGCTGCCCACTCAAAACAACACACCTGCTTTAAAATGTGTATATATCCTTTGATCCTATTAGGTTCCTTTTATTGACAGGCAAGTAGTTGAAAGAAGTAGGTCAGGGTTCTGGGGCGCTCACATAGGGTATGTGTGCCTCATCTTTGCACCTGAGCCCTGTGGACCTCATGATCCAGACAACAGAGAGAGAATTCAGAAGTTGTCCAGAAAGGAGCCATTTTCCCAAGAGACACTCCGATTTTGTGTGAGTTGGAGCTCTAGTTTTAGTGTCATAAAAACAAAAGTTTTTAAAGGTGAAAACTCATCTTATCTGTGGTAATGCATGTATAGTGGTTATTGGCAGGTTTTAACTAGCAATTCAATTTGTTTAATGGATATAAGGCCATTCAGAATGTCTTTTTCTTTTTATACTATTTTGGAAATTTTTGTTTTTAAAGTGATGCTACTTTTGGGTAAAAGTCTTCATTGATTTGGAGATGTGCCTGACTTTACTCTGATACTGAATGCTCTTTATAATGATCATAAATATTATTATCACTAAATATTAATATCTGATTAGGAATTCTCTTATATAGTTCAAATTTGCTTGTATAAAATAAAATACTTAGTGAACACAGCCACCAGATTTACATACTTCTGTGTACTTTTATACATATCTATACTTTTTCTGAGTGTTCAACTAAAGACATATATGAATAATCCCCAAATGTGAATTGACACAGCAGAAAAATCATATGAAGAGGTTGACTAGAATACTCAGTGCTATTTTATAATAGAGGTATTTATTAAGATGTGCATCAGTGGTCTAATCTTTATACACTTCTTCTCTTTTTTTTATATACTTCCTCTCTTAAAAAATGTTTCTTTTAATTTCCTTTTGAAGCTGACAGGTTTTATTTATATAACTGGTAGAGAAATTCAACTCTTATTCTCCATATGCAAGGAAGAGAGGAAGACATACATATTTTAATGAAATAGTTAATAGCATGCTTTTTTAATGCAGAAAAATACAAAGAAGAAAATAAGAGTTGGACTACAATTTCCCTGCTCAGATAACCTTGCTGGGCTTGTTATCAAATGAAATTAATAATGTATTTGGCTAGAAAATCTAAAAAGGTACAAAGTAAAAAAATACAATGTATTCTCTTTGCCTCAATCTCAATTCTCGGGCTTTCTCCAAAATGTCACTTATTTATGGGTTCTTATGTATCTTCCAGTGGGGAGGGCACTGCATACACTGCATCTCTCTCTTCCCTGTGTATTTTCATTCTTACTTTATAGCAAAAGGATAGTTAGTACTAGATATACTATGCCACTCTTTGCTTTCTTCACTTACATTATGAGATATTCCCATATAATTTCATACAAATCTGACTCATCCTTTTTAATGACTTTACATTGTTTTATGATGTCATCATCCTGTAATTTGCCTAACCCCTGTTGATGGACTGTTTGTGCCCAGTTTTAGTCTTTTACAAGGGGAGCAGAGAGAGAGTGAGAGAGGCAAAGTACACGTTGCCTTTTATGACTTAACCTCAGAAGTCAGGCAGCACCATATCTACTACATTTTATTGGTCCAAGAATTTACAAAGATCCCTTCAAGGTCAAAAGGAGAAAACAAGAAGCGCACATCCTGATGGAGGAATGCTAACATTTCATCCTAAGAAAAGCACATGGAATGGGATGTAAATATATATTGATGTGACCACTTTTCGACAATACAGTCTGTCGTAAGATACAACTCCAGTTTCCGCACGCAGGCATACACACGTGAACACACGCCCAAATGGGCCCACAGGCCCTGATTATAATGGGATTGGGCCTAACTGGGGCTCATCAATTAAGATTTCAATTAGCAAAGGATTATGGGGGTCCTTCTGAAATGTTTGCCTATGGGGATGAGAATTGCTCTGTTCAACCGCTTACAAAGCATGCACTGAATTGCAGTCTGACACCCACTTGAAGGGTGTTCTAAAGAAAAAGGAGTCTAGGAGTCAAAATTGAAAGTGCAAATTGCAAATGCTTCCCTTCTAGAGTGATAGGGCTATAAATACCGAGGCTGTTTCTGTTAAACAACAAATGGAAATGCTCCAGAATCAATGAGAGGTGTTAGCACCAGGGAAAAACAGCATCTTAAATCCTTACGCTAACAATTAAATCAGACACTTTTGACACTTATCTGAGACACTCTTGGCAGTACTTTACCCTTCAGGGCATGATTCGAAAATTCACAGCAGGTGACAAGCAGATTTTGGAGGATCATTAGTTCGGCTTTCTCAGCACTTTCCCCAAACATATTCAATACATTTTGTTCAAACCAGTTTCATGATTTTTGAGCAAAGGCAACCGGTGGAAATGAGTGGGTTTCCAGAAATGGATGCCATGACCCCATGAAGCCAAAGAACTGACCTGCTCAGTAACAACCGAATATTAACAAGATCAGAAAAGAAGTGATTTATCCATGAGACCCCAAGGACAACAGTTACAGTCCTGTGAATCATGAGAAATCTGTCTGGGAGACCATGATGCCTTACAGATTACTTACCTCACCATATGTTGTGCTTATTCAATTTGAGGAAGAAAATTATTTCTCCTGTAATCGTTGTAGCCATGCTGTCTTTCATAAGATGTCGAAGCTGCTAAACAAATAATAAAATGGAAAGACTATAACTTCAGAATTTTAAGAATCCCATTTCCCTAAGGTGTTCTAAATGTTTTAAGCCTGCTGGATTTAAGGTCCTAACTTGAAACTCTTAGAGCATTGTTCTGCCATAACTGGACTGAGATGGGTTATGGGAGATACTGACACTGGGAGTAGCCACCACTCACAGCTTTCAAGAGGCACTGGTGCCAATTCCTAAGCAGAACAGCTGACAGTAGGGACAGCCAGTCTGACAGAGACTGTGTGTGATAGCACTAGAGTGCAGGCTGTATCATCCTGACCTACCTACGAGCTGTACAACTTTGATGGGTACCTAAACCCCTCTAAGCCTCAGTTTCAACATCAATAAAATGGGAATGATAGTACCTATCACATGTGTTCAGGACCTAGAAGTGTCAGCCCAGAGTAAGGAAGCAGTAACAGTTAGTGTTATTGGTGGTCTCCAGTTCTCTTTACCATTCCATTTGTAGTTACCTAGAGAGAGTCCAAAGACTTACAGTGAGCGCTGGAGCCAACTCTAGAAATCCTACAACCTAAATGCCCATCAATAGATGACTGGATGAAAAAGCTGTGGTATATTTATACAATGGAATACTACTCAGCCATGATTAAATAATGCCATTTACAGCAACATGGATGGACAGATGGACCTGGAAAATGTCATTCTAAGTGAAGTAAGCCAGAAAGACAAAGCAAAATACCATATGATATCACTTATATGTGGAATCTAAAAAAAAAAGACAAACTAACTTATTGACAAAACAGGAATAGACTCACAGACATAAAAAACAAACTTATGGTTACTGGGGGGGGATGGGGTGGGAAGGGATAAATTGGGAGTTCTAGATTTGCAGATACTAACTAATATACATAAAATAAACAACAAATTTATACTGTATAGCACAGGGAACTATACTCAATACCTTGTAGTAACATGGTGAAAAACATGAAAACGAATATATGTATGAAAATGAATATATATATGACTGAAGTATAGTGCTGTACACAAGAAATTGACACAACATTGTAAACTGACTATACTTCAATAAAAATACAAAAAAAGAAAAAGAAAAAGAAAGAAATCCTACAAAGTAACCCTGCTGGGAATCTGAGGGTGTGGCCCAGGGAAGTAGGGACCATGGTATAAACACTGTCAGGTGCGCAAATAAACTTAGCCACTTGTGCACCCTCCAAATGGCCACCCTTGTTCCAATCTATAGAAGACTGGCACCCAGGCTTGTCTCTGGGATTTTAGGAGGACGAGAGCAGATTGTGGTGCAGGACTGTGTTCTCAACTTCTACAGTCCACTGTGCTGTTAGGGTCAAGCGTGTGCTCTGACTTAGTGGTACACTTATCAGAAAGTTCGATTTGCTCCTGTGGGACCCTGAGGGAGGGCAAGAAGAGGGCAGGTCAGGGTGGCTTCCTCTACCATCTAGATGAGGGCAAGGGAAGGGCAAGTCCCAGACCCATAGCCACTGTTCTCCACACTCTCTTCTTTGCCATTTAATTGTAGCTCTGACCTTTTTGGGGAAGGAGCAGTAAGAGCAGCACACCAGAGACTTTCCCCATGTCCACAGCAACAGTCTGAAAGGCAGGAGGAAAATTCTCCACCGTGAGTCTTCTCTCTTGGTCTTTGTCCTCTATGCTACCATCAGAACAGAAGCTCCACATCTCCCAGTTTCAGTCCTGGAGTAAAAGCTAATTTTGGTGCTGGTAAAACATCCAGGATTCCTGGTTTTCTCTTTGGTTTTGATGCCCATGGCTCTCTACTTTCATGACATCTCAGAAGGTTTTTGGTTTTGCTTTGTTTTCAGATTATCCAGAATTTTTGTTGACTTTATCAGGAAACTTGTTAAAAACATTCAACATAGACAAAATACAAGTCCCCTGTATTTACAGTCTATCAGGACGTGAGTGTTCAGACATCTTGCAGTTGTTGAGATGGAATCCAGCTATTGCTCATGAAGCACCCGCTGGGTGTGCCACGGCTGTCCCCTGCCCTCTGTGTTCCTGACCTCCTTGTTTGGCCTCCTTCTCCGAGACTTGACAAGAGGGAGGCTGTTTTCATGCTACTTTCCTGAAACAGGGAACAAGGGATGAGCTACATATACATGATGGGAGGTGCCTGGAAGAAGGCTGAGAGAACAACGCTCCAACCAGATGATCTCTGAATGACTCAAAACAGGCCATGAACTAATGCAATGGAACAGTGAAAACCGGGGTGAAGCAGAGCTTAGGAGTGTCTCATCGTCTTCTTGTCCTCTTGAACAATGCTTTCTCTTTGGGCCACACAACTTTTCCATGTGTTAAGCATGACAGTCACACGTATTTGTAAGATGACACTGCACCACCCTCAGTTCCTTGTGTGAATGCTAATTCTACAGCTTTATGGCTGAAGTTTCTAACAGAAAACTTCTGAACACTTACTTGTTTTTCAATATCTCATCAGCCCTTAGCGTAGGTGGCCTCCTTTATTTCCTTAATTTATGGTGCTGCAACAATCTCTTGTATCAGCCAGAATTTATTGAGCATAGTGTTTAAGAACACAGATGGGGCCTCAGATCTATGGTGAAATCCATCCTCATTTAAGAGCTGTGTGGCC